AACAAAATTCATTTTTTTAAGTTAGAATTTTGTTATAATTGGTTGGAAATTCGTAAGATATAATTTGCAGGAAAATGGGTAAAAAATTTCATAAAAAACACATTGAAGTCAATAGCCACCCATAAAAAAGTTAGTTTGTTTAAAACATGGATACAATGAGAATTTGTGTAGAAGCTAAGCTGGTTTGAGAAAACAGTTGGAAATGTTGGATATTTCAATTAAAAAATATGAGAATTAGGGTTTTGCTTGGTATGAATTTACAAGTTGCACAGACAAGACAATGTGACAAAAACAACATTCATTTTGTAGCAAACTTCATAGGACTTTGTATATGTTATATCTTTGTCAAAATCAGAACATGGTAGGGAAACAAAAAACAGAAGACAATATGAATATATATAATAATGAAGTTATGAATTTTCTATATTGTTGTAGTAACATGCAATCAATTGGATTGGATGGGAATGACCAATTACATAAAACTGTTGATGTTGTGTTTGGAATCAAAATTATTACAACCCTTGTTTGTGGTCCTATGGGTTTTGGTGAGTCACGAGTGGTTGAAAACATTGCAGAGCTGTAATAAATTTGTTGTGGTCAAAAGTCAAAAACTATAGCTACCTTAATAACTATGGTTTTCTCTGTTATTATAGGTAACTGCCATGCAGTAGTGTAGGTATGACTCAAAACATGTTTATAGGATGTTGGTTTGTTTGAAACCATGTCTTAGTTTCGAAACCATGTTTTTAGGACTTGAATTGAACCATGGTTTTCGTGATTTTTAAAGATGTTTTTAAACATGTTTTCAATAGTGGTTTGAGTGTTGAGAACATGTTTTCATATTTAACTTCAACGGGAATAGCAAACAAATAATGTGCTTTTTAATTACGGTGGTTTAGTAAAATGACAAGGATAAATTACTATAGTTAATAAGTACATGTATGAATTGTAATTTTGTAGAGTAGGGTATTAATAGTTGATGATTAAAGAGGATGAGAATATTGCACAAAATTGTAGCAAAAGGAATATGGTAGTACAATGCAGTGAACTTCATAGTACATAATTAATGAACCAAAAAAACAATTCACCATTGAAAGTAAATATTTTTTACTTTCTTCATTCCATAATAACGGTTGTATATAATGATGGTTATATTAAATTATTTTAATTAATTATCTGTATGTTTTTGTTTTTATTATTATAAATACAAATAGAATAATATAATATAGTAACTTCCAAGGCATTATTATCTGTATGTTTTTATTATTAATTAAGTATATAATGATGGTGCATAGAGTATTAATTACTAGGTATATGTTAAAAAGATAAAGATTAAAAAAGTTTTTTATTTCTATATATCATTATTTGTTTTAAGTCTTTCTATTTTTCTTTAATAATCTTCACATGATTTTCGTCGATAAAATTGATCATGGTTGTTAATGACTTCACATGTGTTGTATAAAGAGATTTAAAATAAAATAAAATACATTTATAAGAATTTTTTTAAATTACTAACAACGTTGTTAGGTTATAAAAAATATAAATAAATTATTTTTATAATAAAGAAGGAAAATAATACACTAGATCAACCTAGAAATAAAGACACTTAAATAATCATCATTTAATAATGTACTGATAAAGTCAGGTAATATAATTATTTTGTAACTTGTAACCTTCGTAAGCTTATGCATTTACATACTTGTTTGTTTCTTGAAAAATGTGACTAACTTTGACATTCTCATACAGACTAATTAATCTAATAATATGTCTTAAAAGAGCATGATCTTCCTAACTTTCTGATGCATCTTTATTAATAACTTTAATCACCACTACAAAATTAACATTTAACTTCACTTTCCTTCCCCTAAATCAATTGATTATATTCATTTAATTAAACTCATACATACTAGTTAGTTACTCTCATCTAATATATCAAAAAAATTAATTTTCCATATACATAATCTTTTGTTTTAGTCTTTAAGAATTTGACAAGTTCATAAGTCATTATTTGAAGAAAAAAATAGAAGAATATAAAATGATTTGTTTTGTATTTATAAAAATAAAAACTTAATTGTACTGTTAAGATAAATTAATTGATAATTATTCAGAAATATTCAATTACAAAGAACATCAAATTGAACTAATCTCATTTATTTATTTTTAAAATGATTAATTTCTGATCTATATCTATATATATATATATATATATATATATATATATATATATATATATATATATATATATATATATATATATATATATATATATATATATATATATATATATATATATATATATATATATATATATATATATATATATATATATATATATAAGATGAAAACCTAACTAATTGAAAAATAATTAAAACTGTTAATTTTCAAATAATTTTTTTTAGACAATTTGTTGCGTATAAATGTGATCAAGTACTTTTTGATACGAGAAAAGGATGGTTTTATTTTTTTGCATAATGGTAGCAAGAATGTCAGCATGAGTGGGCCAAGAGCCTGACATAAAAATTAATGACCAAAAAATTTCAAAAGGGGGAGGGTCCAAGCAAGGAATAAAGGGGTACATATCCCAAAAAAAACAAACTCTCATTATCCTTTCTGTCTTACCCTAGCAAGAAAGAGACACATCAACCCTAAATTTATGTGCAGGTAATCATCACCTATATTCACTGCCTCCGTCTTTCATGTCATTTTTATTTCCTTTTTTTCTCTCATTTTTTTCATATCATAACCCTCCTCAACCTCTACTTTTCATTATATATATAGCTCTCCATTATTTCATTCCCTCTCACATATTTCACACATCTCATACATACATGCAATGCAGCTATATTCTAGTTGAGTTTTCTCTAGAGCTTTAACATGTATTGTTTCATACAAGAAATGGTTACAATCTTGTTCTTTTTCATGGTTCTTCAAAGTGATGAAGAACAAAGGAACTTGTGGTGAATGTTATGGCGATATCTCTCCTGAGCTTATTCTTCTTATGTTTTTGTTTTGTAATTTTTTATTTTTTAAATAGTTTATAAGTTTTCTTGACCTTGCAAGTCCAAGATCTTTAATAGTTTAGGTCAAGATGATTTATAATAAGTTTAGGATAGTATAATAATAAATCATCTCTTATTTTTTAGATTTTTTTAATAATTATTATGTATCACTTCTATCTTTCATTTTTAGTTTCATTTTTAATTTAGTTAAGTTTTTTTAATATGTAATATTATCTTGTATACAACAAATATATTCATTATTCAAGAATGATTATGTCATAATAAAAGAAAAGTTTTTTAAGGAATGATTATTTGTTAGCTAGCTTTGACCTATATCTACTTATTTTCTCAACATTCTTCAGTTTTTCTACCATCATCTAATTAGCAAGATATTTTGAAATTTAATATTTGTTTGCTGCTCTTTGTAGATGATATAGCTTATTCACAGGTAAACATTGTATATCTGTTAAGAATATTAAAATAAATATCCACAATAATTACAAAACAAAATTTAGGATCACAGCGGATTTATGATTGTATTATTGAATGTGTAAAAAAAATGATTTGTATGTTTTACAACGTTTAATAAAACTACTACACTAAGTTTTATTATGTCAAAAATATGAAAAATAAAACTACTACTGTATAGATTTTGGCTTATGATAAAAAAAAATTAGTTAAACATCCACAGTTGGATACGACTAAATTATTGTGTACTGGCTTTTTTATTGTGTACTGGCTTTTTTATTGTGTACTCGTTGTTCTTTTATAATCTTGTAAGGTAAAAACCATGCTCAAGAATTTATTTTATCAACTCATTATTTTGAGGTATATTGGTTCTAAACCACATTAAAAAACAAAGTAGTTAAGGTGTGTATGAGTTTCTAAAAACCTGTTTATGAGTGTGTATGTGCGGGCTAGTGGGGCTAGGTACAAATTTGTTTATAAAAAAAAACCTATTTATGATTTTGACAAGTGTTTGAAATTGGTTCGAAATGGGTTGTGCCATTATTATCGATTTACAAATAAATTTTAAAACCCAATTTTTAAACTGGTTTTCGGAAAGAAACAACTTTAAAATCAATTCTGTTTTAAAGATGGAAGAAAAAATCTTGAACCAACCATTATAGGAAGGAAAAAATTTAAGTGCTTTTCTTTAGATGTGATTTATGTTTTTTTCCAATAAAAATATAATAAGTTTATAATATATTGATTATATTTTTATCAGAGAAAAGTATGACTCACATCTATGAAATTACACCAAGTATTCTCATTATACAAATTTATTTTGGTTGATTGTAGTTCATGATTATATTGAATATATTTTGTTTAAATATTGAATTGATTTTGTTTAGATTGGATTGTTGACTTTGTAGATGAATTGTGAGCGCCCAGTGCGTATTGTCACACATTTGACTTGGCATTCACTGTGAACAAACTAACAAGAAATAAAATTCAAAATTCACTTGTACAATAATTTTCTTTTGCACATACCTACACCTACCAAAACCTCCGAGAAAGTGTGTCTTGTCCAAAACCGACACCAAGCAATGCTTATCTTTAGGTTTTATTTATTTATTCATTTATTTAAAATTATTAGCTGTATCAATGTCAGTGTAGTTTTTTATGAGTATGTGCTTTATAGATTTATAGAAGAGTTTGTATTAGTTACTACAAAACTAATTCCAGTTTTTATGCTGCTACATACATACATACCAATAATTGTACCACTGAAAATTTTGATCCCTACTTTCCGACCATTAGTTCCTTTGGACTTTGCTTAATCCTAAACTAATTTATTTTATTAAATTTGAGATCCTTAATTGGCAAAAGTTCAGTTTCTTAATTGATTTATCATATAATATCCTCAGCTAATACCTCATTAAGATCCCTAAAACCTATCATATACACTTAGATACTCTATACATTTTTAATGGTACAACACTTGTAGCATAGGAATAACTAATACTGATTCAGCATTCTGTTCATTTTTCCTTGTATTTAAGCAGCAAGCACCAGCACTTTGATGGTGCCTTGACTATTTGCAGTTAGTATGGTGGGGCGATCACTCTTCCAGCATACCGCACTGATGAAGTAAGATCCCGCCTCATCCTCCGCATCTTCCATGTCTAGGGTACCAAATCTATGCCACGTCAGAGGCTTCGAAATTTCCTGCAAAGGGTGACTCAACTCTTAGCTATTTACAAGACAAATGCAAGAGAAACCGTCTGAATAATTAAAGATCACAAACCTTGTGGTAGACAAATACTTCGTTTGTTTCACTGCCACATGCAATGTATTCACTGCTTACTGTAAGGCCTACAAAGTTTTTCTCGTTTGCATGGCCTCTGAAAGTACGAACCTGTGTGCAAATACATTTGGATGAAAATGAAAACAACATTCTAATTTAGAAAGTACAAAAATCTACAAACTAAATGCAGAATGAATGAAGGATAACTTGGACCACAATCAAACCAAAGAAATAAACTATTTTTGTTGGATTACTTACTGGTAAGTTTTGCTTCACGTCCCATAACCGCAGTGTACTATCTGTTGATGCTGACGCAAGTTCATCGTTGGACAAAAATTTCACATATGAAACAGCCTTCTTGTGCCCAGTGAAAACATGGACAGGCCGGCTAATATTTCTCAAATCATAATAATGGATATGATGGTCTGCTGACCCAACCTGTAAAAATGTTCTAAAGATTAATCCTTCAACAATCAAGTGGATACATTCGACCATTCATAATAACTATTAACTACTACTACGCAAGCTATTACGGAATAAGCAGTTCTTGAGAAAATGTTATAAAAATGTAAAATTAAGCACATTGCTTTGAAATACTAGCAAACCCACGAGATGGAAGATGACTGAATAATTACAAGGTGATAAACAAATGGGATCAAATTTTAAGAAAACTGAGTCGAGATATTCTCTACCAAGTACTAACTGAATGAAAAGGAACATACTGCAATGTAATTCCCGGATCCAGGATTATACTTCACGCAGCATATGTTTGCTTTCATGTCTATATTTATAACACTGGCTTCCTGATTCGTGCACCAAACTTTGACCTGCTCAAAGTATACAGAAATTACAGTTAATTTATCACTTTCAATAATCAAAACAAACTTAGAAAAGGTTACTATTTTATCACTTATCCATCATGTAATTTCATGTTTCAGGAAATGCTAAATTGTCTTTATTAAACATAAACATGATGGCACTCAAGAATGAAAAATAAACATAGTGGTGTACACTAGAAGAAAAAAAAAAAAAGACACAGAAATGGAGACAAAGCAAACATGGTGAAAGTAGTCAAAAATAAGGGCTGTGCTTAAATTGTAGAAGGCTAGAAGAGAAATCCATTCAGATTGTACCATTTGGGAGTAAGTGAGAAGACAATTACCATGCCAATAACTTTGAATTTGTGCAAGTAAAACGCAAAAAAAAAAAAATGCAGACTCTCAAATGACAAATCAAGTAAGAGGAAGTTAATCCAACAAGGATACAGAAAGACATTATTACATAGACTCATAGGAAAATTTTCAGAAAGTACAGATACATTCCAGTAATATCGGTAATATTTTTCTGTATAGATGTTGTAGAATACCTTACAATCATCACTACCGGATACAAGCATAGAGGGATCCGTTCTTGAAAAATCAACACTCCATGCACGCTTTTCATGCTCTTCATATTCCATTAAACTCTGCCAAAGGAAAACGATAGTCATAAAAAAAACTCTGAAATACAGCAAGTATATAGACTAAGATACCCAAATAGCTGATACCAGAAAAACTGTCCATTTGAGTCACAATTACCTTTCGAGTGGTCACATCCCAAACAGTTACAATGCCTTCATAATCACTACTAGCTATTTGGTTCTTAGCATATTTGTTCCAACTCAAGCAACTAAGTTTTGAACGTGTAGTCATCTCCACAACAGGACAATGAGCATCTGTGGGTTCATTCACGACCTGGAAAGCAAAAACATAGGAATGATCTTTTTTTATTAGCTTTAGCAACATTACAAGAGTGAACCTGGTAGGGAACAAAATAAAATAAAAAATTAGGGAGAATCTGGGATCTCTAGATTAGTTAAAGCATTACAACAATTGAATCCACTTAGGGTCTGTTTGGGAGTTAGTTTTTGGAGGGTTTTGGAAGGAAAGACTTTGGAAGGCTGCATCTATATCGTAAAATGTTTTTGATATTTATAAAAAGTTTAAAAAACAATATACTACATTAGACCAAACAGATCCTTAAAATACTACTTTCTATTTTCTTCTTTTGTTTTCTCAACCACTAACCCAGCATTAACACTTTTTCTACATTAGACTCTATCAGAAACCCTTGTGACTAGCTTAAGGTGTTATAACCATTCAACCAATATTATGTTGTGATACAGATTGCGCCATTTGTTTATATAGGTGCACGTATTATTAAATATTTCCAAGGAGATGGAAGTAAATCAAATATTATATGCTTTATATTAAAGCACGTGAATCTTTCTAACTCTTCAATTTTATCCTATCGTATTCATTTGTCTGTTGAAAGATTTACTAATAATCAGTTAAATGCTGAGAATCTAATTTTGGTAGCATAATTAAAGATGACAATATTGGTGAAGTTATGATGAAAGTAAGCTTTAGTAAAAAAATTAAATTCATAGCTTACAAAAGTGATATATTTTATATCAAGTGATAAGAATGGTCCACACTTCCACCAAAGGAAGAGTTGAAGCATGAAATGGAGTTTCTTATTGTAGGATTTCTCTTGATGTAAAAATTGTTCCTGTCTCTATTCATAAACTTCAACAAATTTTGACAGGATTTCATCTATTTAGTGTCTCTAATTAAAGAGATAAACACAAAAAATTTAGGTTTCAAATGACAAGGAAATGTAATGTTTTAACATAAGAGAATCTATCTCATTGAATTATTTATCTGACATGATCCATATATAAATGTCACTCAACTATCAAAAGAAAAGAAAATTATAAAAAAAAATGATATTAAAATTTTAGAAAAGTAAATGCCACCATCTTACCGCAGAAAAATCAAAAACTTTGATACGTCGGGAAACTCCGGCAGTAGCAAACAAATCATCATCACGGTCAAACTCTATGCTGCAATACACAAGGTGAGTCCGCGCATTCAGGGAAAATAGTATTCGTTGACAATTTAAGTACTTCGATAAAAACATGAGTTTGTCCATAAAATTCATTTTATCAATGCAGTACTTAACTCCTTCACATAAAGACTATAGTGGCAGCAAGATAAAGTATATTAAATAAAAACCTACTTGTCTGTTTGGGATAGATACCTAACGTTCTTATTGCCATATAATTTATCTCCAGCATGAAATGTGAACATGCATGAAGAGGGAGTTTAGAGTATGTCCCATATGTAATGTAACAGCAGATCATGACCTAAAATTCTATGATAAATAACATATTACAGACTAAATTAAGAACACAGCCATGTTGACCCATTGCATGACTTTAACCAACCATAATGCAGTAACCGGCAATAGCTTGGAATAAAAACGTTGATTACTTTATTTCTATAAAGCCAGGACTACAGAGGCAAATACCAGATGAATATTAAGAGTTCCATGGACAATTTCACAAAATAACTCACCTTGAAACAATGTTGGCTGAATGAAATATATCCCCGTGTCTTATTTCTGCAATGACTCTCAATCGACTGTTTCAATTGAAATTCAACATAGTGAGAACAATCTTATACCAAAGATTTCAAGCTAAATATAAGATAGTAGACCTAAAGAGTGAAACATGCTATAACAGTATTAACAATTAAACTATTTTGTTCATTCGATTCCCTTCTTACTTACACCTAAAATCCTATTACTTCAACAAAGTGTTTTCCCCTATTATAGTAGAGCATTTGCTCAATTCACACAAAAGGCAATCTTTTTAATCCATTCTACCCCTATTTCCCACATTTATAAAATTGATCTGCCTCTAACTAGCTAAATGCCCTAACTATTCCTAACTAACTACTTTGACTCCCTTTATTCTTCCACGAAAAATGACCACTTTCCCTTCGATCCCAACTATATATGAATTGATATTTCAAGTGACATAAAAAGACAAATAGTAATACCTGTAGCGTGTGAAAGTTGTTAAGACTGACTGAAAATCATCAAGACCGCAACTATAACCTTCTCGACTTATGAAACTCGTATCCCTTTCCTGTTGGCCTTGTGGTTTATCTGCTGCTTGCCTCCGTTTTTGTAGATAACATTCTTGTAGGTCATTGAACTGGACCAATGGAAGGAAATCAGATGGGATTCATAGAGGGAGAAAATAAACCAAGTATATAGATGTAAATCCAATAATAGAAACAATAAGAGGCACCATAACCTTCTGCAAAATTGAAGTTGTAATATATTAAAGAACACACAGGAAGCAAGTAAACATAAAAACAGAATTGAATTTTGAAGTTTACACAAGTCTATGTTCTTCATAAGCGATATGGTGTCTGCTACTTTGCTATGCAAGTTATATTTAAATGCACTTATGTTTCATGGTTACTTTTGCGACTCTGTTATAGCGGAAAAACCTGCCATTGCGGTGAGCCCAAAACCACCATGTATATCCACCGTTGCACCGCCATGGCATATATTTGATAACACTGTTCCTAGATCTTCATATTTTGTCATCTCACTCTGTTTCCTTTACAATTTAAAATATCCAAAATACAATTTGTTCCCTGGCTAGACTTATTAATGTATTCGCACAATTCAAAATCATCCAATGGCATATTTTTCCTGGCCCTCATCAATCAAATAATAAAGTTACAGTCCAAAGAAATAGATCACAGTATCACCATAAAGATAATGCTTGTCATCCATTTGTGTAGAAGTCATCCCAAGTATATACCCCTAACATATCTTTAAGGATGTTAGAATAGAAGAAAAATATCTTAACACATTATTATGTTACCGTAGTTATCTTTTAGAATCAACTTCCATATATATCTTACATTTCAATATTTTTTCCTTGTTTAATTAGGATTAAGAGCATAGTATTATTATAAAAAAATATTAGCGCTATAACTTATGCAATAACATCAGAAATATTAATCACATAATCGATAAAACTTTATACTCTAAGTATTCCTTTTCCTCTTTCTATACTTGAAAGATACTCCCTCCATTCCTTTTTAATTGTCACTTTTTAAGTTTTTACACATACCAAGACAACTAATGATTATTGTTACTTTTGAAACAGTGATTATTTTTTTTCCTATAATACCCTTAACTTTTTAATAGTTTATTCAATTTTTTCTCTCTCTATAATAATGATTAGGGGTAATTTTGACAAAACTACAACTAATACTATCTTGAATTTTGAAATGCGACATTTAAAAAGAAACAATTTTTTTTATAAAAAGTGACACTTAAAAAGGAACGGAGGGAGTAACTCATAACTTCAACAAAAGGCTATAACAAACTCTAAAAAAACCAATATTTACTACCTTTTCTAATGTCTATTAACTTATTTAAGCCTTAACAAGTTCTAAATTTGTCGCTGTCTTCCTAAGCTCTGTAAGTCCAAACAGTTTGGGAGTTAAATCTAAAACTCTCCTAGCATGTGCTACAGCTACATCAATCCACAAACTCATGGCAAAAAAATATTGAAATGACCACAAAACAAAATGTTCAGTTAACCAATAATATTGGACGTAGCTAAAATTCAGAAAAAATTTCAGAATTACAACAAGATTCATTCACAAAAAAATTCAGGATTGCATCCGATGGTATAAATTAACATTTCTCAGATGAAATCAAAAGCTAAAATCTTATATTTGCCCAGAAATGTTAAGTATGTCCTGTTATGAAACAATTTTTTCCTGGCAAAAAGCTTTCCTAAACACCCATTAAATATTCAAAAAAACATTAAATAAAATAAAAAATTCAAACACAGAAAATTAAACTAAGATAACCTGTGTATGCACCCTCTTCTTTCTAACTAGAGCAAGACCCGATTGATTTATATACTGTGAATCTGATCCACTGATGGGATCTCTTCTCTGGATTCCATGCCCATGAGAGCTGATTTGTGATTTTCCATCATTTTTCTTAGTATGGCTCCCTGAAGACAACCCTCCTCGAAGATTTAAAGGACTAGATGCGAGGCCACTGCTATTCAAGTCCAATGATGAATGCCGTGATTTTCTTCCACCAGAATCATCAAGCATCCGCAATTTCACAGAGTACCTGTCCCGAGCACGATACAAGTCCATTCTATGTTTCTCCACAGCACCAATGTCCTCCTTTATGAACTGGAGATCAGTTTGCACCTACAGATGAAACCCCAATTGATTGCAATAAGTAGCAATATATTCAACAAAAAAAAACATGTCTAAGTAGTATAATAAAGACCACCACATGCAAACAGGGGAAGGAAAAAATTGAAATATAAGTAAGGGCCTGTTATGTTTGAGAAAATGTTTTATATTTTTATTCCAGTTTCAATTAATTATTACAAAAGTATTTCCAGATTTTTTTAAAACCAAATAGACTCTTAGTTACTGAGTAATAATTTAGTCAAAAATAAAATAGATAGATTGCAAGCAGCACACCTCCTTCAACTCATCAACTTTTTGCTTGCGTAAGCAATGCAAGAAATCTAACAATATTTGCATATTTCTCTCAGCTTCTTCTTGTTCCATTTTTCTCTTCTTCTCAGTAAGGAGTAACAAAAGGGTGTCGAGCTCCTTCATTGTCACTTCACATCCCTGTTTCAAGATTTAAAAAATTAAAAATATATATGCATCAAAGACCAACAAAAGCATCAACAAGGATTTACAGATTACGTGATACAGAAACATGCAAGGGTAACAATAGAGTAATCTTCAGTATAAAAGTTGTATGAATTCAAATAAGCTAATAAACAGGTAAATCTCCAATATAATAATAGAAACTGGTATTAATTGATATATTGATCAATATCCACTATTTATTAACGGTTCTCAAATCAGAGATAATTCACACAATTACACACTTGAAAAGAAAATAGAAGTTACACAGAAAAATTGGCAAAGATCCAATTTTACCACAAATCCGAGAGACTGATACTCTCCATTTTCAATAACCATTACATATCTTCTAGATAACCAAGTATTACTTGCTCTTTTCATAGTTATTCTTACTAACAAACAAACATAATTAATTAAAACAAAAACATTACTGCCACAAAATTAACCAGAGTCCGTTTTGGCCTTCTCGGCCTCTACTTCTCCACCTATAGCAATCTATGCAACAACCAAGTCTTATCCCACTAAGTTAGGTCAGCTACATGGATCAAACAACTGCTTAATGTTCTATCATATAACATATCTCTATCCAACATTCCAACTTATTAATCTCTATATCTTTCTTGATAGTTCTCTATCTCTTATAGTTTTTCTAGATTTTACTCAACGTCTAGTGATTAGACTATCTTGCATTGGATTTATTTTCCTTACTACAGAATCTAAATGTTTGCTCACTCAAGAATATACAAGCACTCTCCTTAAATTTGACAAGACTTAAAACTAATATTTTTGGTCCTTGATTTAGTTGTATATACAGTTATAGACAATAAATTTGCAAGACCTACATGACATTACAAATGTCAAACACCAGAACAAGTGGCCCTTTGTTCCTCTTCCATCTTCTGCCAAGTTATTTCATGTTCCAAAATGCATAAACAGATGCATCAAGTGAGAGAATTGTGTTATTATGAGAAATCAGGGGAATAAGTGATAGGCATTGAATCAAAATGAACAGATATGATAGATTTCTGTTCAAAAAACTACATAGGGTTGTCATAATGGTGGGTCTGGCATTGATAATTTTAACATTTATGAGATGCACTTTTCCATTATTACGGAGAATGATGGACCTTGTTCTCATCTTACATTAGGCTTCAAAAGAAGTTGGTATTGCTTATTGCTGGCATGGACAGTCGATGAGCAATAAAATAAGATTATTCTTAACAATCTACTCTGATCTAACGCCTACTAAATATGCATTTGTTTGAAGAAAAACTAGAAGCAACAATGAGCTATTAACTGAAAACAAAATCCACAATAACAAAGATATAGGTCACCGCCAAAAAATCGAAAACTAGTGAGAGTATCACCAACCTTTTGTACTGCCTGCCGGAAATGCTCCACAGGAGAAGCAGTCTTTGATATTTGACGATCTGATGTCTTTTTTAGTAGCTACAAATTTGGTACAGAAACCGTTTAACAATGAGCTGCATTTCGAAATAAATCAACTCAAGATAATAAAAAAATCATACACAAATTCCACACGAAAATCTATACTACCTTAAGTCAGTTACATTCTCAAAAAGCTCTCACAAAACGCAAAATTGATAACACCTAGAAACCGAATTCAGTACTAAAACAAGAAGTTACTTAAATTTCAATCTAATCTCAAAAGCAATTTCATAACCGAAATTTCACAATTAGAAACACAAAACATCAATTAAACAATCGCAATTAAACATGCATTGCTAAATTGCTAAATTCATAGTGAAGAACGAAGACGAATTGCGATGCGAAAATGCGAACCTTATCGAGCAAGAAGTTCGGGAACAAATTACTGTTAGTGAGGTAATGACCACAGCAAGGACAATCGCTTTTGTTCCGGAGATGAGTGATGATACACATGTAGCAGAAGCTATGACCGCAAGCGGTGAGAAACGCGTCTTTGATGATCTGCATGCAAATCGGACATAGGAAGTCCTTGTCTAACTCCGACATGGTGGGAACCGGAAAAGCGTCGCCGGCGGCGGTGGTGTCGGTGGAGAAGTTTTTGGAAGGGTCTGGTTTCACTACTGCAGGGACTAGAGGTCCAACTGAGTGTTCTTCCATGGTAGTGGATATGGTTTTGTTGCGAGAGAAACGGTTTCGACGCGTGTGGAGGTGGTGATTTGGGGTTGATTTTGTTTTTGCTTATGTGTGAGAAGAAAGGGGATTTAGGGTGGAAGAAGGTGGGACCCATTGGTGTTATGTTTGTGAGGATGAAAAAATTACACGTGATAGCTTGGATTTCAGAACTCAGCTCATGCTAGAAGCCACATCACAACATGCTGGCCTCTTATGAAAATATGAATTATCAAACCTAATTTATCTAATTTAATATTTAATTTCTCTAAACACTATTATAAACAAATGACATAACTAATTTAAAAATAATAATTAAGTGAAAGAGTTACTTCAAAAAGGGAAAAGAATTATAACAAACATAAAAAAATGAAAGAGATTAAGAATGTGTTTGATTTAAGAGAAGTTGTAAAGAGAGAATTACTAAAGAGAGAAGTTGATGAGAAATGTTGTATTTCTTTTACTTGGTGGGCAAAAAATAGGTGAGTGAGATCTTTAAAATATGGGTCTCACAACTTTTTGCAATCTTTTTTGTTTCGCGTAGAGATGGAATGAATGCATACAATCTTTTTATGCTTCTATTTATATCCTCGTTTTATTTTCTAATAAATCAACTACATTAAATATCATTTTTTAAATATCATATTTGTGTAAATAGAAGCAAATTTAATATAATAATTAATATATAATTGTATAAAAATAATATAATAAAACTTAACATTGAACTGACAAATTAAATATGAAAAAAAAAATTTCAAAAGAGATATAATTGATTAATTAATTAAATTTAAATTAAAAGAATTAAATTAATTTGTTTTAAAATATAATTTATTATGAGGATATTATAATTTCTTCTCTTTTTTTCTTAAACCAAATAATATCTCAAATCTACTTTATTTCTTATCTTTTTCTCTCTTCTTACACTCTCTCTTTTCTATTTCTCTCTTCACAACTTCTCTTCTATGCCAACCACACTCTAAGAGAGCATGAAAGATAGTTAAATTGGATTCACGTGATGGACAAGAGGAAGAAAGAACAAAGAATGACATACGATAAAATAGGCAGATAGAGGGATATTACTATGTGCTACTTCATAAATATTTTAGATGATATCATATTGGCAAAGGTCGAAGTAAATTTTTTTTTATTCGGAGAACTAGTGAATTTACTCATACTAATAAAGAAAAACAAGGAGGGGACATCTTTCAACTTTGCAAGGTTTGTATGGTGACAGATGAAAGGGAGATAGAAGAACAATTTAGGAACGTGTGGTTTGAAACATACAAAATATGGGTAAATGTGTTAATCGAAGGAATAACAACATGAGGCATGAAAAACCAAAGAACATAGATAGCATAGTGGTTAACTGAAGAATAGAGAGTGAGCAATCACTAGGAAAGTTTTACTTGCCTAATATGTATGCTCAGGTGGTGAAGAAAATGAATCAGAGAGGTGATAACCAACATATAAAGAAAAAAACCAATCACTTGGATCGAGTGGTAAACGAGCTTCTGCTAAAGAATGGAGGTTCGGGGAATGCCGAGTTCAATTCCTAGTGGGAATAATACTTGGCCAATGTCACGACCTCTCGACACGAGCTCTAGATTACTATGGGCTCATTCCCTTAGGGAAGAATGTTGGAAAGGGATGAGGTATAATGCATATGAAGAGGATGTCAAGTGGGCAAAGAAGGGGTTTATGGGAAGAGTTCATAACATAGATGAAGTATCGATGTTGCAACAAAAAAATTTGGACATAGGGGGTCATTTAGTTGGAAGTGATACGAATGAGGGAAATAAAGTATTCATAAATGTTTTATAAAATGAAGACTTTCATTCTTTGGTGAGAGAAATGTTTCTTCCAACACTCGTTTGTTAGCTTAGATGAGTGGTATCCTAAGGGGAAATGAATGGAAGATTTACATGGATTAGAATTTATGGGGTGCGAAAGCAAAAAAAAAAACATATAAAGAAAAATTATTATGAAGAATGTTGGAAGAGGATGAGGTATAAGGCATATGAAGAGGATGTCAAGTGGGAAAAGAATGGGTTTGTGGGAAGTGTTCATAACATGTTGAACAAATGACCTCAAACACAAGAGAGGGTGAATTGTGATTTTTGGAAGTTATGGAAAATTTTCTCTTTCTCAATTTAAGATCGTATTAGTAATTTTTTTCTAGTAATAAAGTGTAGCGAAAATTAAAGTAAATGAAATATATTGCTAGTAATTTAAAAGAGTAAGGATAGAAATATTGCACCGGAGAGTTATCCAGGTTCAGCCTAATATTGGCTTAATCATGTCCCCATGAGTTATTCTTGAGATTTTCACTATGAACTTGTGAGCTTTTATCGACTATGCCCACGAACCTTAATACAATCATATCTCATGACACTTTTAGATCTCTTAAACCAATAACTAAGTTTTTTATCGGCTAAGCTCACTAAACCAATAATAGAGATTTTTCGGCTTATTTTAAGAACTAATGAAATAATCTCGCAAGGATGTTATACCTTAAGAATATATATAATCAACATCACCACTTACAAAATACTACTCTCACAAATGAATGTTCACTCCAAAACACTAAGGCAACCAAGAGTGGAGAAAGAAAGAAATCTCTTAGAGATAGAAAGAGATGGTTTAGAGAGATAAATTCTAAACAAAATGAAAATGTTGGAAATGGCGTGATTTCTAGTGAGTAGATCACCCTTTTATATAGTAGTTGAATTCTCCAAGAAAGGAAATAATCCATGGACTGAATTAAAGAGTTAATCGATCTAATCAATCGATTAAATCTTTTAAATAATGGATTATAATGCCCAAGAAGGAAGGATTGGATATAAAGCCTTTATGTCATCTTTATGATGTTTGATATAAGTCTTATCGTGCAAGTTTGGACTAATTTAACTGATTAGCTTAATCAATTAAACAAGGTCAAATTCCGCTTCAAAGGATTTTCTAAGCCTCTTTAGTTTATTTAGCTTAATTTATTTTTATGAAAATGGTTTTTGTGTATGTTTGTGTGTGTGTGTGTGTATGTGTGTGTGTGTGTGTGTGTGTGTGTGTGTGTGTGTGTGTGTGTGTGTGTGTGTGTGTGTGTGTGTGTGTGTGTGTGTGTGTGTGTGTGAGAGAGAGAGAGAGAGAGAGAGAGAGAGAGAGAGAGAGAGAGAGAGAGAGAGAGAGAGAGAGAGAGAGAGAGAGAGAGAGAGAGAGAGAGAGAGGGAGGGAGAGGGAGAGAGAGAGAGAGAGAGAGAGAGAGAGAGAGAGTTGCCTTAGTATTTCTAAGCTATTGTTTCATTTTTACAATACTTGGTTCGCTCACAATATTTTGGCAGGACTAGACAATCTTTCACGTCTTTATTCTTAAGATTCTTGTTGATGTCAATTGTCTTTGAGTACTTTGGATGTGTTGTCGTCATCAAAATTTGGTTATTACCTGCAAGCACTTTGTCAATTATCTTTGAATGCTTCTATATTTGTAGATGTGTTATTGTCATCAAAGCTTTAGATGTTGATTTTTATTACCTGCAAAACAAGATTCCATATTCTCCTCTTTTTTTATGATGACAATGCATCTCTCCGGGAAGGTGGTAAGAGAAATAATGTATAATTAAAGTGAAAAACTCTCCCTGAGTTAGATAAAATATATATTCCCCCCTGAGAGTATACTTCTCTCCATTTTTCAAAATCAAACCGACGGGTAAGAGATGCAAGTATGCATACATGTTTTATGATAGATAATTTATTAGCATACATATATTTTTTATGTAAAGCAAGTATTTTGATCATGGCAAGAAAACATCTTCATCTTACTTCTAAGTAAATAACATGGCATATAGAAAACATTTAGCAAACATATCATAGAGAATATGATGGTATAGTGAGTAATATCACGAAGTATGCTTTTGACATAAAAAATATCACACTTAGTTGAGAACATATATAACCAACATTGTGTGAAGGACAACATATTTCATATATATGAAGCAAAATTTTCTTAAAGCATTATTTTTTAGATATGACATAAGATATAAGTATGCATGCAATTAAAATATTAGTGAAATAATAATCATATCATGTGCAGGATGGAATACAAATTTAGCTCAAATATCATGGTATAGAGTATAATATATCTTATTTATTTAAAAAGTCAACAAATAAGGTTCCTAAATATGGCATAATATGGGACAATTTTATACATGGCCAGGATGTCATGTTATAGTGAATAAAGTGTCACGAATTATGCGTATGGCATATGCGTGATATGGAAAATGTTTATAGCAAAGAATATCATGACATAAAAACTATCATACTTTTATGAGAAACTTATTATCTATAGTGTGATCATCAAGGTTTTCTGTAAATATTTCTGGGCATGGCATGTGTGCAGGATAATATATATTTAAGTTTGTATTTTTGAGGTGTGCCTAGCAAAAGTAACTATGCAAAACAAGATTTCACATTTTTTATTGTCTAACATGAGTAATAGAAACAGGACACGTGGATTTTATGTAAAATAAGTGATTTACCTTATAGTTGTGGACAAGAGCAGTAGTAAAATATATATTCTATGATTTTTATTTTTCCAAGGAAGGTGGCATTTCCTTTTGATATCAATTGCTAATCTTCTTCTCCTAAATTCTTTCTTGAACAAAATCTTTGAAGCTTTTTGAGCTGAGAGGAAATTTTGTTGTCTATTTCTTTCTCATATTTTTCTCATCTTAGATACCTTCTTTTTATCCTTCTTGGTCCTTAATCTAGGATTCTAGGCATATTGTATTTGATTTTTCTTTATTCCAAAACAGCTTCTCAACCATGGGTTAGTAGAAAAATAAATATAATTGACCAGATAGTTAATAAATCACTTAATAGAGAACTAATCAGAGTTTTCTGATTTTTCAATCTCTATTAAGTCTACTACCTAATAAGTGTAAATTGTAGCTATTTTGTATATACTTTTTGTTGCACTTGTCGACTCTTTGTTGTTA